AGAGGCAGTCTGATGATAAAGTTACCAGGTTTGAGGAGACACAGGGCTAGGTAGACCAAGGCCAAACTCTGACATGGAGGAATGTCCCTGTCTATAGTGACAAAGTCCAGGTTCCTGAATTCCTTAGGTGAGATTAGGAAGAGCAAAAAGTGACTTTATCATGATCTCTAATCAAGAGAGTATTCTCTGAAGAATTGCCCTGTGGAGGTTCAGTCTTGTGCTTATCTAGCCCTATTCTATGACTCTGCCAACCAAAGACAGTTTTAGAAAGGCAGTTGCCTCTTTGATATCAATCTGTTACTGTACTTAGCCAAACTCAACTTCCTGATAAAGCATGTCTCCTGGAGAAGGATTGGGCTATGTCTCCTGAACAATGTGTTTCCCTTTAACAATTCTTTATGCTTCTGTCATTCAGAATTCATCTGTGTGTTTTCAGCCTTTACTACGTTTTGTGGTGATGAGGTTCACACTGTCAGGCTCCACTGAATGTAACTCCCATCTTTTGAGAATGTCTTAGTTGAGTATAGTGATCGTCTACTTTGGGAAAAGTGAGCACAAAGGACAGGGGTGTCCCTAGCATGCCGACAACAGTTGAGATGTTTATTGAGGGAAAGGAGTCTTAAATCTTCCTCCTCAGAGATGCCAGAGCTCGTATTGTGTTTAACAACAAAAAAGACCCTTTATGCCTCCTCCTGCGGTAGCAAGAGGCTAATGAATTCAGGGTAATGAGGAAGATGTGTCTGGAATGGAGCAAGGAAGAGGCAAGAAAGAACCTATGATGATGATTAGATAAGGCCAGTTAAAGGAGGGCCTCAGAATACTGGCCTGAGGAGGTGGGGGCTTAATATAGTAGGTAGCAGGGAACTGTTCTAAGTTCTTTATCAGAAAGATATTACAGTTGAAATTTGTTACTTGTTATTTTTGAAATTTGTTATATTTGTTATAATTGAAATGTGAAATTTATTGTTACAACTGAAATTTGGCAACTACTTAGCAGGTTTGCCTCTATAGATATTTTGGCCTTCCTCAGTGAGAGGATGGCTCATTGCCTCAGAATTGACAATGTCCTTGTTTGCTTAATTTTCCCATTGCTGCTGGAGCAAAACAGGGTTATGCATTTTCAAAACTCTGACCTTCACATAGCAGTAAATCTTGAAGCTGTTATTAAATTATGTTTTTAGTGTCCAAGGAAACTTTGTCCCTCTTCGCAAACGCTGAATGTCATCAGCAAGAATGTTGAACTGGTCCTGTGGGTGGTTCTACATGTTTACTGTGCTCTAGAGATAGGACATATGTATAAGGACAGATGGCTGCCCCTGTCAGGGAGGACTTACAGCAAAGGCTTATTTCTGTTATGAGGGCTCAAGGGCCATTGTGGAGCTCTAATCCTTGGAACTTCCTGCTGTGCCAAGCTTCCCTAAAGCCACCCTTAATGACTGCTATGGGAGCAGTTTCAAGCAGCCCCCAGATTCCCAAGAGAGCTCTTCTCTGACCACTTACAGTCCTTAGAGTCTGACTCACCATCCGTACACTTGATTATTGGTCTTATCTTATTTAGCTGTTTCATATGTTAGTTATGTTTCCCCAACAAAATTAAGTTCCATTTCTCTTGTTCTTCATTTGTTAGACCCATAAATACTTGTTGGCTGATTGTGCTGATAAAAGAACAGCAGCAAAAAACATAGCAAGTAAACTATTACGGAGGCAGAATCAGAGTACAGACCACTAGTGCACACTGCTGGTCTGTGAGGCAGCCCTGTCATGGAATCTGTCTGGTTTCTTACAACTTCCACTCATGAATCTCTTTTGAAGTTTTTTGTGTGAATCGAAGTCTATGTCATTATGATTGTCCTTCCAGTGAACTCTGGTGTGCTAGAGATGGGGGATGGGATACGGCACACCAGCCCAGCCTGGCACTGCTGGTTACTGCTGGTCAGTACCATCATGTGGCCCATGAGACGTGTGGGAGTCCTGTCATGTAGTCCAGCTGTGGAAGCCTGAAGCCGATCAAGAGGTTGAAAGAAGATGGCTTAAAGTGATGATGTCTCTGCAGGTGGCAGAAATGGAGATTTGGTGGGGACACAGTTGCATTTATAAAATTCACAAGGGAGAAAAGTCACTTCTAACTGCCTGGTATTCTGAAGACAAACGAGAGTTCTGTTTCAAGAAGTGTATGGATATCATTATTCATATCAATATAGATAGAAAGTACCACAGGGTTTCAAAGACAGTTTATATTTGTGGATGATAGATCCAGTCTTTCTCTAGGACAAATTAGTGATGTTTGAGGATACTCCTGACTTTTGAGGTTGATACTGGGAATTACCACCAAATCTTTGCATAGCTTATTCCTATTTAAGAGAGATCGCTAGCTTACTGCAATTATGGGACTAACCCAGGTGGGTATTAAAGGCAGAAGATGGGTTGTAGTTTGTGGTGGTCTTATCCTCTGGCTTTCTTATTTCCTCTTATTCTGGGTAGAAAGGCCTGCTGGTCCCACATCTGCCTTCCCAGTCACACCCACTCACTAGTGACAACTGGCTGCCAGTAGCCTTGTCTCCGAAGAACAATACAATGGGCCTGTTGTGTACTTGTTGACACACAGAGTGGATTGTTTTAGCAGGTGCAAAAGATATTCTGTGTGGAGATTACAGAGACCTTTATCCTGGATGGCGAAGCATAATTCAAATCTAAGTTGTCCTTTGTCCGGTCAACAAGCAGGTGTTGAAATGAGACTTTAGTTAAGCTCGGTCCTTCAGGGTGTGGGGGCATCATTAATGTGTGTGTTTGTGTTCTATTCTCTCTGTATCTTTTCCCTCGAATAAAACAGTTTAAACTCCCTTTGGTGGCCAATCAGATGGCTCTGATTTTTCTAAGGCTTTTCATTGGCAATGATACACCCAGGGCAGTCTGAATTCTGGAGATGTCACTTCTTTGTTTTCAAGAGTGATTTTAGGGATGGGCAGTGATGAGGAAGATGGCTATTTTCTGCCAGTGTGGTAATTTCACTTGGCTTGTCTCAGAGATGGAGCCTTGTGTTTCTCCTGTGTTCTTTTGGGTCCCTGATGAGTGCAGATGACTTTTCTGAATTCACTTCTTGACTATCTGTACTAGTGAAGGGGAGCAGTGGAAAAGAGGGTAAATCCATAAGCTTGTGCTATGCAAGGACTTTCATTACCCTGAACTCAGTTAGCCAGACCCTACCTTTGGATTTTAGGAGAAGAAAGAAAATCATACAAAAGCAAGCTGAGAGCAAGGATTTTGTTAAAAAACAAACGAGCAGGCAAGCAAACAAAAAGCCACAGAAATCGTTTGCAAATTCACTCCGTATGTTCACCTTCATGGCAAATTGCTCAGCCAAGCATTAAGGTTGGTTCCCACCCGCCATGCAGTTGAGTGTGTGGCAGGGAGGCAGGAGAAGGATCTCATGGGGATTGTTCCAAACGTGCAGTGAAGGTACAGCCTGGGGTTAAAGGTCTACTCTGAGTGGACAGTGGTGTGCTTAATTAATCCCCATGCTGATGAGGTAAGCCTTTTTCCTTAGCTTACTTTCTTCACTCTCCCTCTAGTCCTTGTTCATCTACTTATAGTTAGCTTTCAAGACAAGATTTCTGTGTTGAAGGAGGAACTATGCATCAGGAGAAGGAGAATAAAAATAGGTCAGTGATAACTCTCATCACATATTCCCATTTATTTGGTTTGATATTCAGTTCAACTGGACAAGTATTTGTTGATAGCTTCTTTGTTCCCATACTTGTATTAGGCTCAGGGAGATAGAGATCCATGATGATAATGCTAATAGCTGACATTTACTTAGCATTTACTATGTGTCAAGAGCAGTTCGAAGCATTTTATTTATATTCATGCTTTTGAGTCACACAACCACCCTATGAAATACTACTATTATCATCTTCATTTCATAGGTAAGGAGACAGAAGTTAACTCAGTTACCCCAACTAGGAGCTGGTAGAGCCAGAATTCAAACCCAGGCGTTCCCACTCCTAAAAGGCAAGGTTCTTGCTCTTTGGAAATTTAATTGGGGGAGATGAAGTCAACGTAGTGAAAAACAGTGCAGTTTAGGATAGGCCTTTGGAAGAGGCAAGACCTCACTAAATCTCAGATTCTTCAGCTGTCACAGATGTAGTGTGAGAAATGGATGCTACAGTGCATCTGAAGAGCCAAGTGCATATGGTGTGTGCTCAATAAGCTGTGGCTGTAATGGTGACAATGATGGCATTGCTGGCTTTGGATCTGAAAGGCCAGTAGAGCTGGGATATCCAGAGAGGGAGAGGAATGGCCTTCCCGGTGAGTTAAGGGGAAAGAGGGAAAGAACTATGATATTGAGAAGGGGTGCTAAAGAGATACAGTTTTCTTATTCACTTGCTTATGGTCACTGGTCACCTACTGGCTGAGCTAATTGAGGAAGGAAGAGGAGTGAGTGGATGTTGCAGAGTCAGGCAGCATCTCTGAAGCTTTTCAGTGGCCTTTGAACATGCTGGACATACCATCTGTTTGACACTGGGACTCTGCTTCATGACTGGTCCTTATCTTTTCTTCCCCCTCCTTGAGCTCAGGCCCAATGTCAGATGAGTAAGTACAAAAAGCTCTGGACATTCCCAGAGTGAGAGCAACCTGTGGTGCTTACAATCCAGGCTCAGTTACGTCCCGGACCTTAACAGGTATGAGCCTTTGCTGAAGTGCATAGGAAATGTGGCTCCCAGCAGGCTGATGGGAGGGACTAGGCTTGGGGGTATCAGAGGTCCCTTAGACTTATCTCCTGTATATTACAGGTAGCATCAATCAATGATGTATTTGTTGAGCTCCTAGTATGTGCAGAACCATATGTTAGGAGGTTTTGGTAATTTGAGAAAAGTAAAGAATATGTCCCTGGCCTTGAAGTACTGTGATTTTGTTGTGGAGACCAGAGCGACACACTGGTAGTAATTGGAGGTCAGTATTGGGTAGGAATAACCAAGTGTTCAATTGTCTGCTTTCTTCAGATGCCGCTACCTGGCTGTTCAGCTGTCTCCTGCCATCCCTGTGTTCGCTGCCATGCTATTCCTGTTCTCCATGGCTACCCTGCTGAGGACCAGCTTCAGTGATCCTGGAGTGATCCCTCGGGCCCTACCAGATGAAGCAGCTTTCATAGAGATGGAGATAGGTGGGTTTTCTGACCAGCTGGCAAGATGCTGTACAATGAGTGGCTTTGATTGGTAAGGGAGTGGAATCATAATTTATAGTTGCAGATTAACACTCACTTCCTGTCTTTTCCCCCAGAGATCCTGAATCAGTAAAGAATGTGAACTTCATTCTTCCCTCTTTTGGGTTGCATTTCAGGAAGGATTTCTTACCAAGGTCCTGCTACACTGTTTCCAAGAGGATTTTTTTTTTAAATTAAAAAGATAAAAACTTTTTGGGGGTCATCAATTCATTTGATTTTTTTGAATGAAAACTATAAACCTCTTCATAAAAATATTCTTATATGCATCACACACATACAACTTTTTAATATTTATTTTTATTTATTTATTTGGCTGTGCTGGGTCTTAGTTGTGGCACATGGGATTTTTGTTGGGGTGTGGAAGATCTTTTTCGTTTTCAGCATGTGGGATCTAGTTCCCTGATCAAGAATTGAACCTGGGCCCCCTGCATTCGGAGCTCAGAGTCTTAACCACTGGACCACCAGGGAAGTCCCTGGATATAATTTCAGGACTTCATAGATCTTTTGAAGCACTTGCACAGGTTTCTAACTAAGAATTTCTGCTTTAGGGAAACACAGGATGAAAGGGGACACTTATGGTGCCAGGAACCATTGAGAATTCTAGGAATGGTAAAGGAAGTAGTTATAAGCTCATCACAGTGCAGTCTGCAGCTCAGGGTAGGGCTCTTTGGGACAGAGATGAAGTGCTGTACTAACCAGGAGCTAGCCAGGGTGCCTTCATGAATTGAAACAGAACATTCCAGAACTCGAGGAGGGGATATCCTAGGAGCTCACACTGCAAAAGAAGGCTCTGATGCCAGTACTCAGAGAGACTGGGAGCCCACCAGATCCAATAGCAGTCAGTGCCTGCCTAAGTTGTTCTTAAGTCTGATACTCAAGTAGCTAGAGTCAGCATCCAAGTCACATAGAGTAGAAGAAAGGGACCCAGGACTTCTAAGACTAAAAGCCGTGGCAATGAAGCACTGATCCATGGTTAGCCTTTAGTTCCTTCAGGTGCTTTGTTGTTATTTTTGCTTGTTTGTTGGGATTTTATTAATAATAATATTATTTTATTTAATTAAAAAGATACAAACATGTTAGAGTTCTAATAGGTATTATATTGCATTTATATCTTATTTTTGAGAGAATTTATATTTATATAAATATTATATGCCTCTCCAAGAGGATAGTATATTTTTCTGTATTTTCAGACTGAATTTTGTACCCTTTGATACAATTTTTATTGTTTTTAATTTAATTTCTGTACTTCTCATCCTGAGTTTATTCCTAATGTTTATATGCGTGCTGTTGTCAAGGAAATGTTTTCTCCCAGTTCTAGTTGGTTTCTTCCCCCCACCTCACAGTTTTATTGAGATATAATTGACATGTGACATTGTATAAGTTTAAGATGTACAATGTTTTGATTTGATATTCTTGCTTGGAAAGCTTCCAGCTTTTGTATTTCTTTTGTTTATTTAACTGTGTTTATCTTGCTTCTTAGTGGATTTCTTTTCGAAAAATTTCAGCCTGGTTTAGTTGTGCTAAGGGGACATAGGTTTGCGCACATCTGAGCTCAGACTACTTAGGGATGCAGTGAGGGTGGGAGTTGTGGGAAGGAAACAGGTGGGGTTTGTTGGCACAGCTGGAGTTGGGGAAGACCTGGGCTAGTTAGCAGCAAGATAGGAAGGGACAGTTGTGAGTGTAGGCTTTGCTCTCTCTGGGTTATTCTTTTATCATCTCTTTCCATTCACATGTGGAGAAACTGAAGGTCAAGGCAGTGCTTTGACATGATCTTGCCTCTCACAGCAGACGGTTAGCAAGGTTAGCTCTGTTTTGCCAGATTGCTGGGCCCAGGGCCCAGTCTTGAGCGGTCAGGTTGTTACCTCTGCATTTAGCATGCTTCTCTCAATAGTAGAGTGTATTCTTGAGTTCATACATATGTTTATGTTAACAAGTTTTTGTCAACTTACATTTGGCCCTGTACTAGGTATGCTGTGGGTGGGGGCTGGGTAGGGGAGAGAAGAAGACATGTGGTCCCCTTGCATAGTAGCCCGCCTCACGGGGAGGGTGAGCCATGAACTCTGTCTCCCAGGTGCCTTCATGCAAAGCACATGCAGAGGAATGTTAAGGTGACATGCTGGTACTTATATCATCCTCTAATGAATAGCTCTCCCCTTTCTTTTAAGACTTATGTCACACTGTTATTGTTTGATTTCACAGCATCCACCCCACTCTGCAAAAAAAGGAAAAAAGTTCCATATGGCAGATATTTTTAAAATCAAAGTGAATTGAAAAAAATCTGTTTTTAGAATTATCCTGCACAGCAAGGGTGCCATGAGATAGGCACTCTCACATGCTCCAAATGGGTGGGCATGCATTAAATTGATACAGTCTGTCTGGGAGGCAGTTTGGCAATAAGTGACATGGGCTTTAAGGTTCTTACCCTTTGACTCAGTAATTTCACATCTCTCAGGATTAGCTAAAGGAAATAATCTGGGATGTACACAAATAATCGTAGAAGGATTTTTAATGCATCATTTTTTTTCTTTTTCCTAGCTATTTTAATGACAGCAACTTAATATATTACTGCTCAGACTTCAACATGTTTTCCTTTTTTTCTTTATGATTTAGCAATAAATTTTAACACATAAACATATTCTTGAGGAAAAGGAGGAGATTGTGATTAGGGTGGAGATCAAAGGGAACAAGCTTTGTCTTTAATGTTTTAAGTTTTTGCATACAACATCATTTAAATAGCAAAATTCCAGAGACAGCTTAAATGCCCAATAACATGGATTGGTTAAAATAATTGCAGTACATGCATATGATATAATATAGATAATGATGTTTTCAGAGAAAAACAACAACTGTGGAAAAATGCCATTGTATAATGTTAAGTGAAAAATACAAGGTATAAAATTGTATCTATAATATAATATCAAATTAAAAAAATTATGAATGTTTGTTTATCTGTTGAATAGAGGGAAATACACCAAAATGCATAAATATCCCTGAGTTGAGAGATTTTCAGTGATTTTTCTCATCTCCTATTTGTATTTTCTGTTTTTTCAAATTTTTTTGCAATAAGCATGTATCACTTATTTTTAAATAATTGTTTTTATGATTCTAAATATTGCCAGTTTTTTCATGCATATATTTACTTTTGCAAGATAAAATCCCTTATACCTGTTTCTTTTTAGCATACATTTTCATTTTTCAGTATGTTGTGAACGTTTTCCTGTGTCATTTAAAATGCATACATGAGAGTTTGGCCAGCCATGTTCCTCTCCGCGGCGCTACGGGCCCGCGCGGCCGGCCTCGCCGCCCACTGGGGAAAACATATAAGAAATCTGCATAAGACAGCTGTTCAGAATGGAGCTGGAGGAGCCTTATTTGTGCACAAAGATACTCCTGAGAATAACCCCGAAACTCCATTTGATTCCACACCAGAAAACTATAAGAGGATAGAGGCCATTGTGAAAAACTACCCGGAAGGGCATAAAGCAGCAGATGTGCTTCCAGTTCTGGATTTAGCCCAGAGACAGAATGGATGGCTGCCCATCTCTGCTATGAACAATGTTGCAGAAATTTTACAAGTACCTCCAATGAGAGTGTATGAAGTAGCAACTTTTTATACAATGTATAATCGAAAGCCTGTTGGGAAGTATCACATTCAGGTCTGCACTACTACGCCTTGCATGCTCCGAAACTCAGACAGCATACTGGAAGCCATTCAGAAAAAACTTGGAATAAAGGTTGGAGAGACTACACCTGACAAGCTTTTCACTCTTATAGAAGTGGAATGTTTAGGGGCCTGTGTAAATGCACCAATGGTTCAAATAAATGACAACTACTATGAGGATCTGACACCTAAAGATATTGAAGAAATTATTGATGAACTCAAGGCTGGCAAAATCCCCAAACCTGGGCCAAGGAGTGGACGCTTCTCCTGTGAGCCAGCTGGAGGTCTTACCTCTTTGACTGAACCACCGAAAGGACCTGGGTTTGGTGTGCAAGCAGGTCTTTAATTTATATCCAGCTGTAAATATGTCAGTGGGGAAATAAAATATGAATCTCCTATCTACAAAAAAAAATAAATAAATAAAATGCATACATGATTTAAAATGGCTACATAATATTTCATCCCATGTGTGTATCATAATTTACATAACCAATCTACTACTATGATATTGATGTTATTTTCAGTCTTTCACTATTAAAAGGGAGTTCTGTGACAAATACTGTGTGTTAACATCTTTTGTACATCTCTTTGTAATTTGGTAAGTTCCTAGAAGTTGAATTGCTGGGTCAAAAGTATACACATTTAAAATTTTGGTAGTCACTGCTATATTGCTTACTGGTACCTCCTCCCCATCCTTGCCAACACTGAGTATTTTTCTTTCTAATATTTGTTAATATAGAAAGTGGAAATGGTAACTTTGTGTTAACTTTTTATTTCTTGTGGTTATAGGTAAAGTTGGATGTTTTCATTTCATATATTTTTTAGCCATTTTTATTTCTTCTTATATGAATGTTTTTCTTTGTTATCAGCCAAAAAGCTTGAGGAAACACTTTTTTACATGTAAACAAAATAATTGCATGGCACTCAGTGGAGTTTTGGGAAGATACTCTTGTGATGTTGAGAGTCTAGTCTGGAGATGACAGTGGGCCTAGGGAACCTTTGATTATTCTCATTGCTCTTGGAGAGATGGTATTAACTGTCTTTACTGATCTACAGAAGCTACCAATGGTGCGGTGCCCCAAGGCCAGCGACCACCCCCTCGTATCAAGAATTTCCAGATAAACAACCAGATTGTGAAACTGAAATACTGTTATACATGCAAGATCTTCCGGCCTCCCCGGGCCTCTCATTGCAGCATCTGTGACAACTGTGTGGGTGAGTAAAACCAAAGGGGCTTTGCCTGGGGGAAAGGCTGAGTTGAAGAGAATCAGACTGATTTTTCTCAGGAAAAAAAAAAATCAGTGGGGATGAGAAGATAGATTTAGATAGAAAATGAGCTAGATTTAGTTAAGAAACTTGAGATAGGAAACAAGCTTCTGAACAGTTGTAAATCAACTGTACTTCTGTAGATCAGATCATAATTTAAATATCCTCTAGTCTAAAAATTAAAAAAAAACCTCTTGTAAATGAAGAGATAAACTTTACCTGTGTTTCAAATCTGATTTTTCCTCTGCTGAATCTGTTTCAAGTGGAACCCATCTTACAGAGGGGGAGGAGAATTCTAGTCCACTGGAGGGCAGCATCGAGGAAGGAAGGGCTAAATAAGAAGTGGTGCTCCCAAGAAGAAGAAAGTTGCTAGCACTGATTGAATTTCTCGTATTTATTAGGCACTGTGCTAAGTGCTTTCCCTTTCTCTCATTTAAGACTTATAAAAACACCATAAGATAGATATTATCCCCATTTTACAGATGAGGAAATAGGTGAAGCACCTTTGTGTATGTTTGTATGAAGCTGGAAAGGGTCTAATTCCAAAATCCTCATTTTTTCTTTCTCTGCTTCTGCTTCAAGTGTGGCAGGTGTATGTGTGCATAATATAGGGTCTGTGCTTCTGTCTGCATATATATGTGACTTAATTGTAATCACTGCCTAGTGTTTGCTGAGCCCTGGGAAAGATAAAAAATAGACAGTAAATACGTCTGTTGAAAGGCAGATGTGTGCAGTTCCTTATATTATCAATAGGCATTCTTCCAGCATTCTTTGTATGTGCCATGGAGCATGCCTGAGTACATTGCTTTCCTCTTATCAGCCAGTTCTTTTTAGATTAAGGGTGGGAAGATGTATCTTACTTTAAATGGTAAAAGCTATATGTAGTTAGGATTTTTATAAATTGAAACATTTTAAGTGAACCAGGAAACTTGATATTTCAAGAAAGTCTGATGTGATGGTTTTCAGAAAGAATTTCCTCTCCTTATTAATATTCTTAAACATAAAGAGCTCATGCAAGTTGGTTTTTTTAAGAAGAAGCCCTAATATTTCAGTAGAAATATGGACAGCAGATAAAACAGGAAATGCAATTACTTAGTTAACCTGAAAAAAGTGTTCATCTCTACTCAACATCAAAGAAAAAAATTAAAACAAGATCTTTTTAAATCTAGAAATTCATCAAGGATAACTTGATAATGCTTCGTCCTACACTGGTGAGAGTATAAATTGGAACAAACTTTTTGGAAGGCAACCTAGTAAGATTCACGCCTTAGAACATGTATACTCCTTGATGCCACTAACTTGCTTTCTAGGGATCTATCCTAAGAAAAGTAATTAAGGATATGGTAAAAGATTTAGGTATGGACATATTTACCTCTAGATTATTATAATAATGAAAAATTGGAAAGAGCCTTATTGTTCACCAGTAGATAGATGGTCAAATAAATTGTGGGACATTCATACAGTAGACTTCTGTCTATGGGAAAAGCTCATCCTAGAGAGCGGAATGAAATAAAATAGAAGATAGGCTACATTTGTAGTGTGATCTCAGTTACCCATTGAACAAATATAAGTATATATAAAGAATTATGCATGGAAGTACTCCAGAATGCTTATTGTGTATTATCTATAGGCTGTGGGATTATAAGGGATTTTGTTTCCTTCATTAGAAAAAAAATTATTTTCAGGTTTTCTACAATGAGCATGTACTAGTTGTATTATTTTTAAAAAGTGTGATTTTAATATAGTTTTAAAAAGTGTGATTTTAATATAGTAAAAATATATCTGTAGAAATATGTATTTCCCAATGTTTTTTATATGGCAGGTTTATTTAAAGTAAGGCTATCTTTATTCCTTTTTCTGAAAAGCTATTGCAGCCCTTTAATTAGGAGATGCACCATTCTTAACACTTATTTTTTTGACTGGTACACAGCTTATTGTGCTTTAAAAATGATGTATTTTATTCTTTGTGGGGTTTTTTGATTCATTAAAATAATACACATTCATTATAGAAAAGATGGAAAGTACAGGTATAAATAAAACTTAATCCCAGACTCACTCTCCATTTTGTTGTATTTCCTTCTAGTCTTTCTCTCGTTTGTAAAATTGGATCATACATGATAGAGTTTTTAGTCCTGCCTTTGTCATTTAATGTAACATCCTGAGCATTTTTCTACATCTTTAATAAATGTTTTTTGAATATATTATTGTTATTATTTTGGCTTCACTGCATGGCCTGTGGGATCTTAGTTCCCCGACTAAGGACTGAACCCACATCACATCCCTGCACTGGAAGGCAGTGTCTTAACCACTGGACCGCCAGGGAAGTCCTGGAATATGTTATTTTAATGACTGCATAATCCATCATATGGCTATATTCTAGTCTATTTAGGCAATCTGCTATCAGTATATATTATTCATAGTCCTATTTCATTCATTATTATAACACATTAATCAAAATTATTAAGTTTAGGGATGTGGTGAAATTGGAATCTTCATACTTTTCTGGTGGGAATGTAAAATGGTGCTGCCGCTGTGAAGAATACTTCGGCAGTTCTTCAAAAAGTTAAAATTCTATGGCTCAACAATTCCACTCCTGGATATATACTTGTATTAGTGTGCTTGGGCTGCCATAACAGAATACCACAGACGAGTAACTTAAATAACAGAAATTAATTCTGTCATAGTGCTGGGTGTTAGTGGTCCAGAATCACAGAGGCAACTGGGTGGATTTCTGGTGAGGATTGCAGGCGGCCACCTTCTGGCTGTGTCCTCACCTGGCCTTTTCTCTGTGCTTGCATACTTCTGGTGTCGCTTCCTTTTCTTATAAGGCTGCCAGTTGTATTGGATTAGGGCCCCACCCTTATGATCTCATTTAACTTTAGTTATCTTCTTAGAGGCCATATCTCCAAATACAGTCACATTGGAGCTTAGGGCTTCAACATGTGAATTTTAGGGAGTGGGGGATGACACAATTCTGTCCATAGCAATACCAAAAAGAATTGAAAAACAGAAACTCAAACATATTTGTACATCAGTGTTCACAATAGCCAAAAGATGGAGGCAATCCAAGTGTCCCTCAACAAATGAACAGATAAGCAAAAATGTGGTATAGCCATATGGAATATTTTCAGTCATAAGGAGGAATGAAGTGTTGATACATGATACAACATGGATGAGTCTTGAAAACATGCTGAGAGAAGTCAGACACAAAAGGCCATATATTGTATGATTCCACTTAAGTGAAATATCTAGAATAAGCAAATTCATAGAGATAGAAGATTAGAGGTTACCAGGGGCTGGGAGAAGGGGAAAATGGAAAGTTACTACTTAATGAGTACAGAGTTTCTGTTTAGGGGTGATGAAAATTTTTGGAAATAATGTAATAATGTAATTAATGCCAGTGAATTTTACACTTAAAATAGGTTAAAATGACAAATTGTATGTTTTATATATTTTACCATAATAAAAATTTAATGAAAAAGTATTGACCCTAAATTCCTGTGCTCTTCTCTATTTCCTTATGAGAAATTACTGAAAATGGATTTATTCTGCCAAAGGGATGTGAACATTATTAAGGCTCTTGATACATATGCCCAAATTGCTTTCCAGAAAGGTTCTATCAATTTGTAGTTCCACAAACAGTCTATTATACATTTTACCCTGTTCTCACTAGCATTGAATATTATTTTATATATCCTTATTTTGATAGGCAAAAACTTTCTTATTGTTGTATTAGTATTTCACTGGCTTATTAATGAATCAGAAGACTAAATATATGTTTATGTGGTATTATTAACTGTTTTGCTTTTTGACTATTTTCTTGAAGGAGTATTTGTATTTAATTATTGATTTATGACTTTTAACACACTAGGTTACAAAATTCAAATATATTCCTGTTGGGTTTTCTTCCTCTTTAATTTTCCTGGTAGCATTTTTAACATATAGGAAATATTTTTTAAAGTGTATGAAGTCGAACCTTTTCTTTGTCATCTGTGTTTTTTTCTACTACTTTTATGCTTAGAAAGCCCTTCTCCATTCAGGAGACAAATGTTCACCTAGTATTTTTGGTTTTTTTAAGGTTTCACTTTGTTTTTACATTTAACTCTTTAATTCATCTAGAATTATTTTAGATAAATAGTGTGATGGAAAAAGATTGAACTTTATTTTCAGTCAAGTAACCAATTGTTTATGGAATGGTACTGCCTTTCATCACTTTCACTTTCACCACTGGTTTTGTAGCACTGCCTTTCCCAGACAGAAGATTTTTATATATTCTATTTCTGGGCGATTTCCATTCCATTAAGCTATGCCACACCGTTTAAGGTGTATAATTTTTTACTAACTGGAGTTTAAGAAAAACCACACTATTCATTTTTCAAAATTCCCTTGGCTATTTATACTGATTTATTCTTCCTGCACTTAGTAGACTCATGTACTAAGACTTTTCTTTGGAAAAATGAGCTCTGTGCTGTTAACTGACAGTGAGACAGATCACTTAACCCCTTAGTATCCCAGTTTCCTTATCTGTAAAATGGAGAAAAGATTATCTTCTTTTGCCCATCTTCCAGGGTGGTTGTGGGGATCGAAGGCGATGGCTGTGAAAACATTGCGAAAAATAAAAACCAGTATTTTTTACAGTTGCAGTACGCAAGGAGCCTAGGGGTCTGGGAATTAGGTATGAAGTGGATGGTGGATGTTGTGCTTCGTTTTGGAGGCTTTGGCGCTGGACTGTCTCTTTCTCCCACAGAGCGCTTCGACCATCACTGCCCCTGGGTAGGGAATTGTGTTGGAAAGAGGAACTACCGCTACTTCTACCTCTTCATCCTATCTCTCTCCCTCCTCACGATCTATGTCTTCGCCTTCAACATCGTCTATGTGGCCCTCAGTGAGTATACAGGGCAGTGTCTGTTGTTGGAAGGGTGGGTGGAGGGAGAAGACTTGAGGACAGCTTAGGGGAGTGGTTGCATATCCTGGGGGCACTTTCCCATCGCAAAGGCACCTTAGGACCAGTTATAAGTGAGCACTACTGTCTGCTCCTGAGCAGAGCTCCAAACCTCAGGATTTACTGAGCATGTTGGCCTTCTCAGTGGCCCTCTGCTGGGTATCGGGACCATAATTACTGGTTTGTCCCTAGAGTACCTGGCATGTCCCAGGTGATCCCAAAGGCGGGGGATGTATTTTTGGTGTATGTGTCCTCTCCTGCCTCATAAGACCTGCTTGGTGTCACGTGGTAGAAGGGGTTATACCAGAGAAATGTCTTTTAGTGGCTCATGGTCTGCTTTGGAAGATAGAAAACACACACTTGTGCACGTCTGCACATGCACACATCCCCACACATCCAATAACCCAAGGACAGACAGGATGTGGAGTTAAAGGAGTGGTCTTTCTCAGGGTAGCTCCCTGGGAAGAGATGAGCGCTGAGCTGGGTTTTGAACAGTGGAGGGATATAGATTGGTGAAGAGAGAGGATTTTTCTTGGATATTCCTGGTTTCTTTCACCTATGAATGCATTTCCCCCTCCATGCCCATAGCTGGAGGTTAGGGAGAAGGGAGGGGAGCCAGATGCTGGGCTTGTGGCTGACTCTCTAGTCCAGTATTGGGTCCTGCGTTGGAAAGGTGAACCGTTTAGTCAAGAGAGCACCAGCTTGTAGGTGAGTCCCTTACCTGAATGAGGGCTTATCTCTTGCCAGCTTGTAACAAGGATGGGGGGGAAGAAAGTGAGTAGGCACTAGAGTATGTGGGTATTTTTTACTGAAGTTACTAATCTTTCTACTCCTCCTCCCAATTTCACAGAATCCTTGAAAATTGGCTTCCTGGAGACGTTGAAAGAAACTCCTGGAACATATCCTCCCCTGGCAGTAGGTCCCTGTGCAGCCCTCTTAAACTACTTTTCAGCGTGCTTTCTGTCTGCAGTTCTCCACCATCTCATTTTTCAGACGTCAGAGACTGCCAATGTCTAAAATTGAAAAATGTAGTCTTAGTGGTAGCAACCAGAATGGAAAATGGCTGGGGCTTAAAGGGAGGTCTTTTTTTCACCCTTGCCGCCACTGCTTCCCTCCCAAGTCCTTCTGATCCCAGGCTCAGCCCTGCCTTCTCTAGTGGGCTGTACTTTGCTCTCAATAGACCTCTTGTGTCACTAGGAGTCCCACCTTCCTGTTACAGCTAAGGCTTATTTTGTACAGCAAACATTTTTGAGAAGGAGATTCAATTGGGATTTCTAGAAATCACATTCTGGTTTTTTTTTCCCACCAATTTTTTGTTTATAGAGTTTGTTTTCCGGTGGCAGAGATGACCATCGTTGTTTTGCTTTGGACCCCTCCTAAATGTCCCTTTCAAAGAGCCAGTGATGAATAAACAGACAAACATCTAAATACACTAAATCTGTTAGAGAGCTCTTTGTAGTGTATAAACAGGAGTCTGTTACTTTTCATGAGGGATAGAGCCAGTGAGTTTAGAATTCATCCATTGTTATAAGTGGATATATATTTGTGATGTATATTCCAAGGGGTAAAGATGGTGTGATTGGTGCCATGAGCATGGGCCGAGGCATTAAGTCCCCTGGTGTGGCTTCTTCAACATTCCTTAACAACAGCTCACTGTTCTAGAAGTACTCATTTGCTTCTTCACGCTCTGGTCCGTCGTGGGACTGACTGGATTCCACACTTTCCTTGTGGCTCTCAACCAGACAACCAATGAAGATGTGAGTCAGCTTTTCCTCTCCTCATCACATATTCTTCTACCAAAAGCCTATTCTCTAATTACCTGCTAGAGAACTGTCTCCAGGGTCTGGGAGGTTGAGGCAGGCAGAAGCCAGGTGTGGGAGATGGTTAAACCAGGTGTGTAGAAGAACAAGCAGACTGTTTTTTTGGGAGCTGAATGCCCATAGGGAATGAGGAAGAAGAAATTGAATGGTTGGGTAGGCACAGGTCTTCAGATGTTCATACATCCTTAAAAGTTAACTAACTGGGTTTGGAATGGAGAGGGATAGTTGCATTGAATTACATCCTTGCTTTTATTTTATTTTATTTTTTAATATTTATTTTTATTTATTTAACTTATTTAGCTGCACAGGGTCTTAGTTGCGGCACATGAAATCTTTTAGCTGTGGCATGTGGGATCTAGTTCCCTGACCAGGGATCGAACCTGGGCCCCCTGCATTGAGAGCTCATAGTCTTAGCCACTGGACCAGCAGGGAAATCCCTGCATCCTTGCTTTTAAAAAGTTACTGATTAATCCATATTTATTGTAGAAAATCAGAAACTAAAGATAAACAAAAAACAGCAAATAAGTCCCTGTAATTTTACCTCCTAGGCCTCACCATTGTTATGGTATGATCTGTAGTCTTCTAGACTTGTCTAGACTTGTTCCCATGTTTGTTTATGTGAGTATATTATGTTTTTTTTTCAGTCTGGATTTCTTTTTTTTATTTTTTTAAAAATAAAGTTATTTATTTTAATTGGAGGCTAATTACTTTACAATATTGTAGTGGTTTTGCCATACATTGACATGAATATTATGTATTTTTAAATGGAAATAATATATAACATTCAGGTATCTGCATTTTCAACTCTATTGTGAATACTTTTCCATGGCTATGCATATATTTCTCTTTTTTTCCTATTGTGGTAAAAGACATGTAGCATAAAATGCACCACCTTAAACCATTTTTAAGTGCACAATTCAGTGGCATTAGTACATTGACAGTGTTGTGCAACCATTGCTACCATCCATCTCTAGAACTTTTCCATCTTCCCATGCTCTGTGTATTTCTTCAACATAATGTTTAATGTAAGCCTTGGCTTTTATCTTTCAGATCAAAGGCTCATGGACAGGGAAGAATCGTGTCCAGAATCCCTATAGCCATGGCAACATTGTGAAGAACTGCTGTGAAGTGCTGTGTGGCCCCTTGCCCCCCAGGTACTCAAAGGACTGGAAGGTTCTGGAACTCTTGGGACAAGCAGTTAGCCCCAATCCTGTCACCTGGTCTGATGCGTTCTTCTGAATATGGCCTCTTGGTGTCAAAAGAGGGCTTCCCAGGGATTGTCCCTGGGTGCCATATCTACATGGACCATAGACCACAGGCTGGTTGTTTTGAAGGAATGACCTTTCATTCTTATTTCATCTGTTTATTCCTTTGTTAATGTGGTATTCTATGATTTGTGGAAGAAAGAAGTGAATGTGTGTGCTTGGATCAGGCTAGACTGCCAAAGGGCAGGTTTGTGTTTTCCAACACACACAGAAAGCAGATGTGGGTGGATGGACAGGTGGATGCAAAGTGTTTTGTTAACTCTGCTATCTCCTTCAGTGTGCTGGATCGAAGGGGTATTTTGCCACTGGAGGAAAGCGGAAGTCGACCCCCCAGTACTCAAGAGGCGAGTACCAGCCTTTTGCCTCAGGGCCCAGTAAGTGTTCCTGACTTTTTTTTTAAAGCTTTTAGACTTTAAGACTGATTCTGTGGTAGAGGGTATAGGCTAAATTTATACCTTAGCGGTATAATTAGGCAATTTTGTGTCCAATCACTCCAGCTTCCCTGTGTCTGCTTCTGTGCTGACATTTTCTTAAGATCTTTGTGCCCTTGACATAGATTAAGATCTAGTCGTTTCTCCAACATTTTGTGCCAGCCAGTGTGCTAAGGATACACCAATGAACAAGGCATGCGATGTCCCTGCTCTTACAGACCTCACTGTGTAGTGGGGATGAGAGACAATAAAACAGGCTATTAGTTGGTACAGTGACAAGTGTCTTGATGAGGGAAGAATAAAATGCTATAGGAGCAATGATAGTGGTCAGGGGAGTGGGTTGGAGTTAGTGGTGTGGTTACCTTGATAGAAGGGGGCTGCTTCTCTGGAATATGCAGGTGTTATGGAAACTCTCCCAGCTATACTGCTCAGATATGCTTTAATAACGTATGTTCCTAAGAAGTTATTAGTTGAACTTTCTTTTTAAATAATAGCTCTATTGAGATATGATTCAGATACCATAAAATCTCAGTTAAACATGTAGGATTCACTGGTTTGTAATATGTTCACAGAATTGTGCTATCATCACAGCTATCAATTTTAAAACATTTTCATTGCCTTTCCCTCCCCCCCTCCCAAAATCCTGTACCCATTAGCAGTCACTGTTCCTTTCCCCCCAGTTCCCTCAGCCCCATCCCCAGGCAACTGTTAATCTGTTTCTTTTCCTGTAACTTGTTTGTTCAGTATATTTCATGTAAATGCAGTCATATTATATGTGGTCTTTGTGACTGGCCTCTTTCATTTAGGATTGTATTTTCAAGGTTCATCCATGTTGTAGCTTGTGGCAGTACTTTTTTCCTTTATATGGCTGGATAATATTCCATTATATGGATAGACCACATATTATTTATACGTTCATCAATTGATAGACATTTAGATTGTTTCCACCTTTTGGTTATTATGAATAATGCTGAAATTAACATGTATATGCAAGTTTTTACATGGACATATGTTTTCATTTCTCTTGGCTATATACATGAAATTGAAATTACTGTGTCATATAATAATTTTATGTTTAACCTTTTGAGGAATGGCTGTACTTTTTTCCAAAGTGGCTGTACCATTTTCTCACCCCCACCAGTTGCATATGAGGGTTCCAGTTTCTCCATATCTTGGGCAACACTTGTTATTATCATCCACCATTTTGATTCTAGCCATCCTTGTGTGTGTGCAGCCATATATCATGGTAGTTTTGATTTGCATTTTCCTGATGCATAATGATATTGAGCATCTTTTCATGAGTTTATTGGCCAGTTGTATATCTTCTCCTTTGGAGAAGTGTCTATTCAGATCCTTTGTCCATTTTTAAATTGGATTGTTTGGGTTTTTTTTTTCAATTGTTGAGTTGTAAGAGTTCTTTATTCTGTATGTAAATCCCTTAGAGATTTGATTTGCAAAGATTCTCCCATTTTATATAGTCTTTTCACTTTCTTGATGGTGTCCTTTCAAGCACAAAAGATTTCAGTTTTGTGTAGTCTAATTTATCTATTTTGGTTGTTGTTTTTGCTTGCGCTTGCATTGTCAGATCTAAGAAACCATTGCCTAATCCAAGGTCATGAAGATTTATACTCTGTTTTCTTCTAAGAGTTTTATAGTTTTAGCTCTTATATTTAGGTCTTTGATCCATTTTGAGTTATTTTGTATATTGTATGAGGTAGAGGGTTCAAGTTCTTTATTTTGCATATGGATATCCAGTTGTCTTGGCACAGTTTGTTGAAGATTATCCTTACTCTGTTGAATTGTTGTGGTACCCTTGTCAAAAATCAGTTGATCATAAATGTGAGAATCTGTTTCTGGACTTTCAGTCCTATTCCACTGATCAATAAGTTTATTCCTATGCCAATATCACACTATCTGGGTTACTATAGCATTGTAGTAAGTTTTGAATTTATGAAGTGTGAGTCCTCCAAATTTATTCTTTATTTAATTGTTTTGGTTGTGGTTCCATATGACTCCTAGAATCAACTTATCAATTTCTGCAGATGTACCAGCTGAAATTTTGATGGGGATTGTATTGAATCACTCAGTCATGTCCGATTCTTTGCAACCCCATGGACAGTAGTCTGCACCAGGCTCCTCCGTCCATGGGATTTTCTAGGCAAGAGTACTGGAGTGGGTTGCCGTTTCCTTCTCCAGGGAATCTTCCTGACCCAGGGATCGAACCCAGGTCTCCCGCATTGTAGACAGACGCTTTACCGTCTGAGCCACCAGGGAAGTAATTTGGAGAATATTATCATCCTAACATGATTAAGTCTTCTGAGCCAATAATATGGGCTTTACTCTCATTTATGTAGGTCTTTTAAAATTTCTTTCAACAATGTTTTGTAGTTTTCAGAGTATAAGTTTTATATTTCTTTTGTTACCCTTATGCATAAGTATTTTATTCTTTTTGATGTTATTATAATATAAATGGGCTTCCCTGGTGGCTCAGGTCATAAAGAATCCGCCTGCCCTGCGGGAGACCTGGGCTTGATCCCTGGGTTGAGAAGATCCCCTGGAGAAGGGAATGGCTACCCACTCCAGTATTCTTTCCTGGAGAATTCCATGGACAGAGGAGCCTGGCAGGCTACAGTCCATGGAGTCACGAAGAGTTGGACACGACTGAGAGACTTTCACTTTCACATAATATAAATGAAATTATTTTGGAGACTTCCCTGACTGTATCATTCAAGAGATATTTTTAAAGCAGATATACCATCTGAAGATTTAGCCACCCTACCCTCTTTGGTTTAGAATCACTGTTCTAGTGAGCCACCTATTAGGGCCCAAAGAAGATTGAGAGCCACTGTGTCAGACCTTGTGAGACATGTATGTTATAATATTCTGTTGTGAAAGAGGGAAGGTGATCTGTGTAATTATTTGTGGTCCTGTTTATTATTATCATGAATTATAATGGAAACATCTGTCCACAACAGGCAGTTAAGAGTAGAACTCAGACTTCAATTGCCTTCTGTTGAGAAGACAATAGTCTAGTTTTGGTTCTGAGTTTCGGGCTGGTGGGAGCATATCTCTAGCCATCAGTGTGGTTAATGGGTTCAGAGGATGAGTTCAGTGTCTATGGATTATCTCCACTTGGATTCTGTGGGAGACCTTTGTATTGACTTTGATATCTTTTCCTTCTCAGGCTCCAATAGACCATCTAAGCAATGAGATGCCGGAGGACACCAGCACTCCTGAAGAGATGCCACCTCCAGAGCCCCCAGAGCCCCCACAGGAGGTGATGGAAGCTGAGAAGTAGCCTATGTATGGAAGAGACTTTTGTGTTTGATTAGGGCTGTGAGAGATTTAAGGGGAGAAGGTAAACCTGAGACAGAGAGAGAGTAAGCTGTTCCTCTCACTGTTTTTCTTTGGTCTTTATTCATCCTGTTGTAAACTGGCATTTTCTTGCTGCAAGCTTTTTTAATTTCTGGACTCTAAGCAGTCGCAGAAGATGTCAGTCACCTCTGGTAACTGGACAAATGGGTCCCTTGGGGCCTGGCACTGGTTTTCCATGGCCTCGGCCACGGAGTCTCTTTGGACTCCCCTCTCTTCCCTCCAGATCCCAGCTCTCTTGCTTGGGGTCACTGGCCCAATCCTGGGGTAAAGTTCCTTGAGACTGGCTCAAATCCCCTCAAGTTGCTGCATGTCATGAGTCCAGAGGCAGTCACAGAGACTGCTGGCCAGGGCAGTCTACCTGGATTCTCGAGGCCTTCAGAATGGAGGAGGATGGAGAGTAGGGTTGGAGGATTCTCACGGCTCCAAAGTGCCAACATTGCCAGCAAATCCTTTCAGGAACGGGGCAGGTAGCTTCCAGTTGTATTTATTCGTGTAGCTTCTCCTTTGTCCCCTGTCCACTCTCTTAACACCTAAGCCCCACTCTTTTCCCGTGAGATATATGTAAGTAGCTGCAGTATAGATAACAATTTACATTTCTTGTAGACTACCCAGAAACTTTTTACTACCTGTGCCATTCTCAATAAGAACTTATGAGATGCCAACGGCATGGCCCCTCGCACTCTCTGTCTCATCTCTCCTCCTCTCTCACTAGCCCCTTTTAATTTGCTTTCCTTTTGACTCTTGTTCCCGTTGGGAGCAGGAACGGCAGTAATAAAAGTCTGCACTTTGGTGGTTCCTTTTCCTCAGAGGAAGCCTGAGTGCTCACTTAAACACTACCCCCTCAGACTCCCTGTGTGAGGCCTGTAGAGGCCCTGTATGCACAAATGGGAAACCAAGGCACAGAGAGGCTCTCCTCTCCTCTCCTCTCCCCCTGTATCCCCTCAAAACAGAAAAAAAAATAATACAAAAAAGAGGATAACAAGTACTTCCATTAGGCCTCGGCTGAGTGAGGAGGGAAAGCCCCGCACTGCTGCCCTCCCGGGTAACCCACTCCAAGGCCTTGGCCCATCTCGGGCTTGGTAACCACACCAGGGGCTTCCTCCAGGCCCCACTCTTCCAGCACTTCCACCGGCAGAGTCCCAGAGTCGCTTCACCCTGGGGGTGGGTTGTGGCCCCCAGTCAGCTCTGCTCAGGACCTGCTCTATTTCAGGGAAGAAAATTTATGTATTATATGTGGCTATATTTCCTAGAGCACCTGTGTTTTTCTCTTTCTAAGCCAGGGTCCTGTCTGGATGACTTCTGGGGAGGGGGGGAGTGTAAACCAGAACTTTTAATCTATTTGAAGGTGATTAAACTGTGTCTAATGCAAACTGCCTGCCTCCTCCTTCCCCTTCCACTTCAGGAACCACTCTGGGGTGTAAGTATCTTTGTGTGGTGGTGTGGGGGGTGGGGGTGGGGGTTGAAGGGGTTGCTTGTTACTACTACCCATACTTCCCTTTTCTAGGGGACCCTTGGGTTGGAGAGATTGCACCCAAACTCTCCACTGATCTCTTTTACACTCTGGGTTGAAGTTTACCTTATTCTGAACTATGAAAAAAAGCCTTTCAAGGCCATGGACAGTGTTAGAAAGATTGGGAGGGTCAAGGGTTATATTAAAGTAAGAGAACAAGTTCTTTATTAGGATATTGTTTTTATGCAGATGGATGGTTTTAATTGCAGATGAATCTTGGTTATTAAAGCAGGCTCATCAGCCCCCTGCCCCCGGAAATATTTTGTTAGTGATCTTTTACGAGTGATGGTGTATATTTCTTTTTAAATGGTCTCTAATCAAAATTCCTTACCAATTCCTGTTTCATTCTCCCCAGTTAATCAAAAGTAATGAAACTTGACTGCTCCCAGATTTTTCTCTGTCTTCCTATTTTCCTTGTAGCAGGGTTTGAGGTTAGCAGTCCTTGGAGAGACAGAGAGACTGGGACTGTGACCGACTCTGATTCCTGTCCTATCTGCCTCTGCTTTCCCATTCTTTTTCTGGCTCTCTTGGTTTTGTCCTTGTAGTTAGATTTTAGTCAGTTCAAAATAAGGCCAAGCCTGGAAAGTTGGGAAGATACTAGATTTTTTTCAGTTAACTTGCCACTCAGATGAAACTGTTTTTAGTCAGTTCTCAGCCCATCTTGTCTCAGCCCATGTCTTCTCTCCTCCTCCAATTTACCTCAGCCACTCTTCTGTTGACCCTTGGGTCCATTAGAGAAGCTGTCTTTTCCTGTGGTGAAGGGTCAAAATGGAAACCCCTTATCACTAGTATGAAATGATTTTTTTAAAGCTTCTGGTTTTCCCTCCTCCCTGCCCTTGTTCTTTTCCTTTATAAATCTTCTATATTTAAGACCTTGGCCTGAAGATCTGTCCATTCATACCATGCACCAGCTGGGACTGTTCCTAGTCTGAGTTCTGATCAGAGTGGAGATTGATGAATTGGTCCTTCCCAGGAGAATAGGCTTTAAATTGTTTACTCTTTTCAATGGCTGATATTCTTTCCACCTCTCCCCTTCCTCCCCATTCCTTAAGTTCCTATGTTCCCCACTTCCCCAGGCCAGGATGGTTGGAATGAATCCAAAACCTCTGGGGGCTGGTGGCATTTGACTCTTTCGGGCCTTTTTATTTTTCATGTCCCTTTGGCCCTGGGGCCCCCTTTGCCCTAGATGAGAACACCATCTCCCCCTTTGCTTTATTCACCAGTGGCAGCAGTGGGTTCTAAATCTATAGCAGCTAAACTCCATTCTTCCTGTCCTGACTTTCCTGCCTTTACCCATAAGTCCCTTTTTCCTGCTGAATGAATCTCGTTACCTTGTTGAGGGAAAAATAATTATTTTGTTTTTAAATCTGTTTTCTAACTTAAATGCAATTTAATATGTAAATCTCAGCACTTTTGTGTGAGCCTACAAATGTGTGTGTGTGTGTTGTGTGTGTATGGTGGGATTTTCACTCTCTGGTGTTTCTTAATAAAGAAATCCTTCTTTCCGGGGGGAAGCCAATTAATGAAGGAGACTTGAATAGTTGTAGAAATAGAGGGATGTCTGTTTCTTTGTGCTTCTGCCTCATTTCTTTACTTGTGCCTAGTGTGAATGACCAGACCCTTCCACCACCTTTTGACCCCCTCCCTTTTAGAGGGCCCTCAGCCTAGTGGGGCAGAGAGAGGGACCTGTACTGTGTCTGGTGCCCCTCTGGGACCACTTGGATTGGCTCAAGTGGTAACCTAGCAACCTAGCTCCCCTCCCTCTCCCCAAGGCCTGGCCCTGTTAGTCCTTTTCTTCCAGCTCAGTTCACTTTATACCTCTGAAGCTTGGGGCTGGGCTAGGGAAAATCACCAAGGGATCACAGTAAATGTTGTTTTTTTAAAAATAATTTTCTCTCGTGCCTTGGTGCTACTAAAGAAGACCAGTGCTTCCAATGATTCAAAAAGCATTTGTGTCACTTTTGAGAACACATTCTAGGAATTGCTTGCTGTTCTTTGGCAATATGCTTTAGAAATAGTTTCAAAGGCTACAACTGCAAATATCATTAACTTTAAAGGATGCAAGGCCTACTCCCTAAAAAGGGAGTCATTGTGGATTTCATGTTTTGGATAAATATGAAAGGGAAATGGGAACTAGAAATCTTCTGTAAACCATCAGATGCCCTATAGGACATCAGTATAGGTAAAAAAACCTAGTACAACTATCTGGGCCTAATCGTTATACAAATAAACACAAAACATATTTTTACAGCTTTAATATCATACACTGAATTTCCAGTAATGCAGTAATTGTGTAAATTGAGTAAAGATGGTCCTTTATTTTATTCAGAAATTTACCAAGACTTGTGACTTTGAAAATCAGGTCACCAACAGGAGTGCCATTCATGGTTTTTTAAGTCTCCAATATTTAGTCTTCCTTTGTAGCACTTGGATTTGCAGTGAATCTGCATGTATAGTGGAAGCATTGGACTATTAGATCTTTTAGTATAGTCTTGTGCAGGCATTTGCATCTGAAGTATAGTTATCTGATTCTAAATGACTTCCTTTTTGTTTCTTCTTCATACTATAGTTAGTGTATTATATTGCTATTCTGGAAATTATGTGTATAAACAGTTTATATTAACTATGAAATGCATTTCAGGCCAAGGGTATATTACAAAATATTATATATACCAAGGGAGGGTTGAAAACCCCTGGACTAGATTGTCTCAAAGGTCCCTTTCTACCTCTAAATACTTGGAAAATTTAGAAAATCGACAATGCCCCTCATCCCCTTATACCTTTAATGTGCTTTTTAAATTTTAAAAGTAACACATGTTGAAATTTTGAAAGCACAGGAATGTAAGAGGATTGAAAAAAATCATTCATAAACTTATCACCAAATATATTAATCACTGTTAATGGTTTGGTTTATTTCTTTCTGGTCTTTTTTCTTGTGCATATATATATATATATATATATACATACATACATATGTTTGAACATAACTGGAATTCAACTATCGATATAGTTTTGTAATCCAGCTTTTTTTACTTAGTATTTTTCATACCATTATAAATTATTTGAAAATGTTTCTTAATGACTCCATAATATATGTATAATCTTTCCCCTATTATCAGACATTTTTTAGGAATCTCCAATTTTTCCTTATTATAAATATTGCTATGATGAACTTCCTTATATATGGGCATATACTTTAGGATAAATTCCTAAAGGTGGAATTACTGAGTTTAATGGCTCTTGATGTGTGCTATGCTCAGTCACTTTAGTTGTGTCCAACTCTTTGTGACCCCATGAACTGTAGCCTGCCAGGCTTCTCTGTCCATGGGATTTTTCCAGCAAGAATACTGGAGTGAGTTGCCATTTCCTCCTCCAATGGCTCTTGATAAATATGGCCAAATTACTCTACAGAA